ATTTGAAAGTTACAAAGCATTTTCAGTTAGCTTCCGGGTAAAATACCAAACTCCATTATCCACCAAGATAATTCACAAAGATAAAAGAGATTTGATGGTCAACTCAAATCCTTAAACGTTTGCCCCTAATCTAGTGGTATATGATTGAATTACCAAATAATAAGAAATGTAGCATATCAAAAACATAAATCTTGTGAAACTCATGCTCAACAAACAGAGAGGAACTCTACAACATAAACAAATCCAAATGAAAAAGAACTTAATTATTTACACAAAGACAAAATTTCTGCAAAACCAAAAGAAAAGTTTGAAAACGAGTTACGTTTTAATTACACCCAAATGTGGTCTTGAAGATGATACAAAGTATTTGTAGGATTTTAGATTCTATAAGAAAAAAAATGATAAGATTAGGGATGGTCTTGAAGAAGCTTCATTCTTGATCAATCGATTTACTAGATCTCCATCATTATTTTCTGTTTCTTAGCCGCCTTTAGCACTCTTTGCATAACCTGATCTTCAAAAGCTTGATCATCTAAGTTGCTCTTCGGTATAAAATCGGTTTGTTCGGCTCGCTGAAGAGGTACAACAATCTTCTTTGCTTGGTTTGCACGTCTCTTCTTTGCTTCTTGTGCACTGATCCTCGCTACTTCATCCTTAAACCTCCTTGAGAATCTCTCTATTTCGTAGTCACGAACAACGTTCTCTTTTCTCCAAATCAGACATCATCTTACGCCTCTTAGAATCTACTACTCGCGGCGATCTCTTGACTTATTTCTCACGGTGGATTCTAATAACAAGGGAATCATCAAACAGTTTACGGGTTTTCTCGTGTTTGAGAACCTCGTAAGATGTCTTGAGCATCTGAAATTTCTCGTGGGCATGAGGATCATCTGGTCGTTTGTCTGGATGCAAGTCTAAAGCTTTTGACTTGTATGCTTTTTTAATCTCCTGGTCGCTAAGCTTCAGAGCTTCCTCTCCCGACCGTAACCCTAGAACTTAATAGTGATCTACGAAACCCTCCATCTCTTTTCTTCTTCTAAACCCTAAGGGCAGAGAATCACAAACACAATTTAGTAATATAAGAAGCTTTCCTTTCCTAAGAGCTTGGATCTGTATTTATAGTTACAAACTTACTGCCTTAGAGTAAAAAAGGAAAAGCTTATTCCTGTAACAATTATAATTTGTGCTTTGGGAATTGGAGAAGATGGTTACAATGAAAGCTAGCTAGGTCTTTCTCGTTAATGATTAATTAGGGTTTTTTATAAATCTCGTTAAGCAAAATTTATAATCCTAATCCTTTTTTCTAATAAAAGCAAAAAAAATACGTTATTTCAAAGAATATTACTCCTTCATATTAGTTGTCTAACTACTATTAATTTTACATATC